TGTGTGTGTGTGTGTGTGTGTGTGTGTGTGTGTGTGTGTGTGTGTGTGTGTGTGTACAATAGTTTTAACAGTTTTAAAAAAATATACATTTAACTTATTATTTATATATATACATTATTTATATATATATATATATATAGTAATGTATATATATATATATATATACATTATTTATATATTATACATTTTAATACTTCAAATATATTTAGAGACATGTATTATGATTAGTTTGCTGGATTATCCATGATTGGATGCAACGTTTCTCTCATGGCAAATAGAATTTCTTACTGGCTCGGCGTTACTGGACAATCGCATAACATTGATACTGCATGTAGTTCAAGTAACGTTGCTATAGTGAAAGCTTACGAGCTCATTCGGTCCGGAGAGTGCGACGCGGCCATTATCGCTTCCGCCAATCTATGCCTCCATCCTCATGTACAATTTCAATTTTACCATCTAGGTATGTATTTATTATATAAATTATTATATTGTGTATATTGTATGTAAATCCAAAAGTTCTAAATGGTAGTAGCTTTATTTCTTTCTAACAAAATAATTCACAAAATTGCGTTACCTAACTCAACCCAAGTGATATGTATTTCAAAAAAAGATATGAAATCTTTAAATTGCGCCAATTGCAAAAAGAATATATATATATATATATTGCTTTAAATAATAATTGTTGCGCAACTACTTTTAAAAAATAAAACTCAAGTGATACGTATCTTTGTATTCCATTCAAGGGTCTTCTCATTCCAACCCAAGCTTTAATTCTTTTTAACAAAATTATAATATTACAAAAAATCATTTTAATCACAAAAAATTAAAGAGATACAGACATTTTTTTAAATTACAATTTTTCGACGTTTTAGAACATTCTGAACACGTTCAGAAAAACAAAAAAAAATTTTTTTTACGAAAACAAAGCTTTTTCTATGAGGAAGCAATAACAGTACAAAATAAAAATATTTAATTAAAATAAAATAAATAAATTTTCTTGAAAAAAAAACTTGGCGCCGCTAGACCTTAAAATTTAATAAAGTACTATAATTTTGATTGAATTTAATAAAGCACAAAATTTTTAATTGAATAAAAAAGCAATAACATATAATTTAGGGAAGTATGTAGCGGGAGTAAAAAAAGCAGCGGCAAGTTTTTTTACAAGAAAAATTTATTTATTTTATTTTAATTAAATTTTTTTATTTTTTACTGTTATCTCTTTAATTCTTTGATTAAAATGATTCTTTGTAATATTATAATTTTGTTAAAAAGAATTAAAGCTTGAGTTGGAATGAGAAGACCCTTGAATGGGAATACAAAGATACGTACCACTTGAGTTTTATTTTTTAAAAGTAGTTGCGCAACAATTATTTTTCAAAGCAATGTATATATATACTCTTTTTGCAATTGACGCAATTTAAAAATTTTACATTTTTTTTTAAATACATATATCTGTATATCACTTGGGTTGAGTTAAGTAACGCAATTTTGTGAATTATTATGTTAAGGAGAAATAAAAGCTACTACTACTTAGGATTTTTGGATTTACCACAAACATTGCGCATGTACTTGGCGCCTTTTTTTTACCTTTTTGAAAAAGGTAATTTTGTACTGATATCATACATTTTGTAGTGATAAGCAGAGATCGGCAAAAAATTTCCATTTCTTATTTGTTAATTATTCACAAATAAAGAGACTTGGTAGTGTCTCACGCCAAGTACACGCGTACGAAGCAAGACCGCACCGTGACTCTTTTACGCGTACGCATGAGTTGCGAGTACCCGAGATTTTGAGATCTCAATAACCGCTCGACCGATTAGCAATAACAACAAATTAAATTTTTATTAAATTAGCAAATTAGTAATTAATCACAAAAATTATATAAAAATTAATATTAGACAAAAGTGAATTACCCATTACTTAAAAGATTGGTAATTCGTCAGAGAAAAATTTTTATAATTACGTAAAAATTAGTATTTAGATAAAAACAAAATAATTTTTTGTTGCAAATTGGTAATTAGTAGAAATAAATTCATTATTATTAAAATAATTAATAGCTTGTCAAAAATATATATATGACTAATTTAAAAATAAATAATTAGTAAAAAATAATTATTAATTTTTTAAATAATGAATAATTAGTCTCACGTGAATTATTTACTTTAAAAACTATTAATTGGTTTAATATAAATAATTTAATTATTGCAGTTAAACGTGGTTAACATGTATTTATTATAACTTATTATATTATATTATATTTATTGTAACTTATTATATTATAATTTCTTATATTGTGTGTATATTGTATATTGTATGTTGAGTCAAAAAATATTTTCATACACGGAAAGAACGGTTTTGCTAAAGTATCTAACAGCTAATTTTATTGCATCATCAAAATAATTATAGTAGGTCGCTGAAGTATGATAATAATGCTATAAAAAATTTTGACATTTTAGCAATCTGTTTGAGTGCTCTACATAACTATTTTGATGGTCCAACGAAATTATTTTCAGATCTAAAATCTAGTTAAATTTTTAGATATTTCAGCAAAATCGTTCTTTCCGTGCACTACTCTAATATACTACGATAGTAATCGTTCGCATTTACCTCGTGTTCGCAATTGTCCCACTCTCTTCTATTTCCGCATTTAGTAGTGCAAAACTCAAAAAATTTTGTTTATTAGAATCGATTTCTTTTAGGGGTTTTATCTTCTCATGGTTACTGTAAACCTTTTGACGAGGAAGGCACCGGATATATGCGTAGCGATACGGCCGCGGTAGTATATCTGCAAAAGGCAAAAAATGCAAGAAGAATATATGCGACCCTCGTACACGGTAAAATAAATTGCGATGGTTTTAAAGAAGAAGGTGTTACCTTTCCATCGGTCGAAAAACAAAAAATGTTATTAAATGAATTTTATAAGGAATGTGAGATCTCACCCAATGAGTTATCTTACATGGAGGCTCATGCAACTGGTACTGTTGCCGGTGATCCTGTTGAAGTTATGTCTATTGACCAGATTTTATGCGCTAAAAGAAGCACTCCTTTATTAGTGGGCTCGGCAAAATCGAATATTGGACATTCCGAACCTGCCAGTGGCCTTTGTCAAATCGCAAAGGTACCAATGACTTTGCTTAAAGTGTGATTATAGCAATTTATATTTTCTTATATTGTTATAATTATAATACATATATGTATGTGTATAATACATTCATAAAATTATTAATATAATTA